TGTTTAGCGGTAGAAGTTTATCAAAGTACAAGTGGCCACGTACCATTAGTTTTCGTGCTTGACAGCGGCCACTCCTGTGTTTGTCTCATGTGAATGCTATAATGTCCGCATCGTTGCACTTTATAATCGCCCCGTATTGTTTCCTACTTGGAAAAACAGTATTGTCGACGATATGACAATCTGATAAGAATGTAAGGACGTTTTTCAATCATTGCATTAGATCTTTTGTTAAAGGAAACAAAAGATTGGTACCTCGGTGCTTCCTATTTATATTATGAGCGCGAGATAACTCTCGTTGTCTTGAGTATTATACGTTTATGATGACTGTATATTTTAATAATTTGAATCCTCATTTCCCGTTTTTTTACATTAACATTTCGTCACCACAACACCGCATTTAGTATATTATAAATAAATACCTACTTATAGGCATGTTTGTCTACACTTCTTTCGTGTACTCCATTAGCTATCACTTTTTAATGATTAAGTGAGTGGATAAAAACTGAAATAACTAATACACAGGATACTTCTTCCTCTATCCATTTTTAAGTCCCGATACAAAAAAGTATTCCCAAACACGAAATATTGTCCCCTGTTAGTATCCATTCTTCAACAGGATCTTACTGGCAAGTCAAGCCGCGGGTAAGCGCTAGTATAATGTTGGTAACATAATATTGTTGTGCACAAATGTCCTGCGAGTTATTAGAGTGAAGAAAGTTTCTCGTTTGTGGTGCATGTAACATACAGTTTATCAGTTCGGACGTAGCTTGTGCGCTCCGACGACGTAGATAGGTGAGGGTGACAGTAATTGACAGGTCGCCGAGTACAGGACACTTGCGACTAGACGCACGTGCGAGAGCCCCCTAAGCAGGATGTCTTTAAATAGACTAAATGCCTTTATGAAGGCATGCCCTCCGTACCGAGGTGGCATCCGGCGGCCGTTTCTGAAGAGGAAACTTATAAATATCTACTTCAATTATTCAAAACCATTGAACTATAAACACGCTTATTGCTCCTTGTCTGAGTCAGTGGCCGAAAGTCGTTTGTATCGCTACCGGACCCTTATCGAGCATCTCGCCGACACACTGTTTCACGAAATGCCTATTGTTTGATTAATAACTCCGCACTTCTCACTGTGAACTACTTGTTTAAGTGGACCACGGCTCTGATCGTAGTTGCTTGTTTCGTTATAGGGTGATGACTATTTTGAGAGTACTCTTTGTTTATTTTGAAGATACGTAGAATGAAAAATTTAATGAAATAAAATCAAACCCCAAATTCCCTTAATTGTATAAATATTTTTATTGGATGAAGTAAGGTTTAGTCGTCGGTAAATAGAGAGCCGAATGCTCTTCTGAAGTCGAACCTCTCTTGCTCAAGCGTACCTTGACCAATTAGGTTGGTTCGCTTAAGATGACGCGTATCGCTTATGAACTTTGAAAACGTTGTATACAAAATGTGTCTTTGAAGTAAGTATATAAACACTTTACAAATCATTTTCTATAGACCCGAACAATAATAATTCAAATAGTTATTCAAGATTAAATTGTAAAATTGTCTTGTGGGTTGAGACGTGAAATGATTGAGGTCGTAGAGAGATGAACGACGCAATAAAATCCGGATCATGCTTTGAAGATTATATTGAACAGGCTCTCGGAGTTGCACGTGCGCTGAGAGGGTCCCGCGGGCCTCTGAAATGCGTTTGTATTATGCCCCACGATGGGAACGTACCTGCAATTGCGCTCAAACAAGTGTTTCCGGTCATACAGCTATATCCGGTATATACAGCCTTTGTAATCTGGTATCAAAGAATTCCACAGGGTGATGACTACTTTTGAAAAATAACTCGTTAAAAATGAACAAGATACGTTATTTTGAATAAAAAAATGATGCAAATAACTACAGTAACAGTTTTGACTTATTTGTTGGTAGGTACAGCAAAAGAAAAAATACACTTAACTCTTAAATAAAAAATAACGGTTTAAAACCCAAGTTATATTAGTTAACTTATTTATTTTCAAATACGGCCAGACGTCTCCTCCATTTAACGTAGGTGTTATATTTAAATGCGTACTACTCGCGTAAACTACAGACAATAGGTACTTACACGGAACTTACTATAATAATCTTATACTTTAATACATATGGATTAGTTGTTTTATATACATTTACAACACTATTAATATCTTAAATATAAAATAGCTTGGCTTTATTTTACAACGATCAACTTTTTTTGTTGTTACGTTCGTAAGCATGTCGAAAAAAATAAACAGTTTTTTTAGCTTAAAGAACTTAAGTAAACATATATACAACCAAGATTCGTGTAAATGAATTGAAGTTATCCCAAAAAAGATTAGTAAAGCTGGGAAAGAAATACAATAACTAGATGATTATTAATACATATATAGATATCTTTTAGACATATTCAAGTAGGTACATACTTATGTGTACCTAATAGCTGGTTAAAAATACCGATTTTTTTTAAATACAACTCGGTCATTTATAGAACCGGTTGCTATAGAAAAGGAACGATTTGAGTTTGGTTTTCACGATTTGAATGGGTGAGCGAGCTTCGTCATTCAGTGCCAAGCCGTTGCCAACAATAATAACGAGTTCTGCAGGTGACGACTCTGGCTCAATAGCCCTGATTACAACTCCCATTCAAAGACTGTGCTTTACCTGGTCAACCTGTTCCATTAATTTCCACTAACAAAGTGGATATCATGGTTTCCTACCAATTATATCTATTTATTTATTTGTACAGGTTCGCCGACAGCGCGAAAAGCCTTACGTGTAAATAAAATATATCTTATAAATATAATTTGTTATCGTTCCATTATAAATTAAACATAGTTATACAACATTTTCTTTTATGAATTTTAGTTTGCTAAGATCGTAGGCAAACACAACTTACTATTATAACTAAACATATATAATACCTCTAATCTCTAATAATAAACATTATTATCCTTCAAATAAAATATACTTTATTCTCTATAAAACTATAAAAATGATTTAGATTCGTCAAAAAAAAATATATTTGTTCGCTAGTCGTGATTCTACAGTGTTTAAAAGAGCAACATAACCGAGAAGAACACCCAAGAAACTTAGTCCGGTTTTTTTTCATGTTGCAGGCAGTCATATGAATTGCTCTAGATTAATAAATCTAAAGGGCAATTCATATGACTGCCTAAAATAAAAATCAATTTCTTAATCGAAACGATGGCACGAGCGAGATTCGAACTGAGCTACTGTCGCTCTTTACCATTTGTAAAAGCAACTGAACTCTAAGTTCGTGGGTTGGCGTCGCAGAAGTCTTGTTATATAGATGTATGAAATAGAATTAGAATTTGAAAGTGTACTTTATTTATTATTTTTAATGAAAAGTACTCCCGAATTAGAAACTACTTGTATAATTAGACGATTATTTCATGCTCACGGTCCGTTCCGCTGAACGCTGCACCCAAAGGATATTGGTATTGTCTTCGATATCATTAAAGCTATTATACTTGCTTAGTCAAGCATATTCAAGTTTGATCACTGTCTGACATCTTCATAATAATTATGGGTGAATAGTTGGGAGTTACTTACAATAGCAATGCTTTTAAATATAACACTTTAACGGTTTAAAACGCAATGTATATTAGTTAAACAGATTTGCGAAATATTTTAAATACGACCTGACGTTTCTGATGATTTGCAGCTGCGTCACGGGGAGACTGCAAAGCATCCGCATAGTTAAAATAATTTCCAAATAAGTTTAACTAATATACATTGCGTTTTAAACCGTTAAAGTGTTTTATTTAAATGTGTACTACTCGCGTAAGCTACATATAGTAACACACTAACCACTCGCAGCTTTCTTAGCAATTAAAAGAAAATAAGATGGATATATAATAATATATTGATAAGATTTTTGTAGAGAAGTCGGTATAGTACCAAAATATTTCCTTCCTAAGTAAACAGCTTTAATACTACTAATTTATGTTACGTTACATTCTTTTAATTAATCGAACAACAAATATTTCAAAAATAAATGGTTGGTTGTTCGTTTTGACCGCAACACAGTCACGTTCGTATTTATTTTAATTTTATACATTTAATGTTCTTGTATTCAAAAATCTAAATATTGATTTAGTAAAGTAAAAATTTAATCTGATAATGAACGTCGCCGCCGAAAGTATTTAACTTTGCAGTTTTTCTAGAAAACTTACATTGCACAATAATAAACACGTTTATGTAACACTTTATTATTGGCATAATTTTTACGCAATAAACAGACATAGGACACCTCTAAAATATCCCGCACAAGTTTGACTTCCTTCAAATAAACCATTATTAGGTAACTGATGCAACGTAAAAAGGTCAATGACAATATTGCGTAATATTTGTTTTAATGCCTGCATTACGTAATTCCTAAATTACGTAAATGTATGATTCGGTTTAAATCCTATTTGTGATTTACGTATACGAATAACAATTAACAATAACTTTACCTTAAATTAAATAGTATTAAAATAAATTAATACGCCTATACTAGAGCAACCAAAGGTAGTAAGAATATAAATGTACTAAAATATTTATAAAAATTTAGTTTAATATTACGTTATTTTCTAGCAACCCAATGCAGAGTGATAGCTAAGAAGATATGTAATAGGTACCTTACTTATCATACCTTCTTAATAATTAAAATAATTCAAAAATAATATTGGCGATAAACTTATTATTACGCAATATTGTCATTGACCTTTTTATGTCGCATCAGTTACCTAATAATGGTTTATTTGAACGAAGACAAACTTAATTAAACTAATAAAAGTGTATTTATAGTAACGGAAACTCGCTTTTTACGATTAAAGCATAATACAGGTGTTTAAAAAAATATATTAAAATAATTTGAAAGCCTAGAGGTCATTGAACAAAACGAGGTTTCGTCGGAAACGCTTGCCTTTAAACGTTTCGCAATATTCGGTCGTAACCCATTTTAGTTATAACTCGCCATGACTGAGGTTACACTGTGCCATCAAAGGTGTCGGAACATGGGCTGTGCCGAAAACAACAATGAGGCTGTGTTAAAATGGCACTTTACGAGCATAAACGTCGCGACGCAAGAATCTGGCTTGAGATGTGAGCGGATGGCGCTACATCTGCAGTCTCCATTGTTTTCGGGTGAAAGAATTGGTATCGGTATCCAGGCCAATATCTCTCACGTGGGCCCGGAAAACATTCGACAATTTCGGCGTGACCAATTGATTATGGATGTGGTTAAAGAATGCAGAAGTGCGCAATGCAACATTAATTTCATATTGACTGAACTTATTTATACATTTCGCTTTGATTGTCTTTGGCGTTCATTTCAAAATTAGAAGTATTAGGTGTAAATACTGTCTATAGCTTACGCGAGTAGTACACATTTAAATAAAACACTTTAACGGTTTAAAACGCGATATATTAGTTTTAAACCGTTAAAGTGTTTATCTTTTTAGTCACATATTGATTTCTCAAATACCACACGTGATTCGCAGTTTACCAAAGACTTCTAAGAGGCTTAATTAATTCTCTTCGTAGACAAATAGAGATTAATTTTAGGTTGATTGCAGGTTGGTCGAACGGTGGCTAATCGTATGGCAAAGCTGGCTCAGTGGGCGGTCGATAGTGTGACATGTATCAAAGTTGCGTTACACGTGGACCACAGCAACGCAGCCTTACTGTTCACGCACGCGATCCACTGAGCACTTTGACGTTCTTCAGATTTACCGCTTACATGTCGTGGTCTAAATGCTCGGCCGTGTGGTCCTAGCCTGGCAACCGCTGCTAATAAACCATTTAAGAGTATTACACGAACCTGAATAGAGTTATTTAAGGAAGTGAAATCTCTAACCAGGGGTATGAGGCAGATGTAATTATGTTTTTCTTTTAAAACTATTTATTTATTTACAAGTGTATTAAGTAGTATTTTACCCATTTTTATTTAACTTATGTACTAACTTTTGTAAAAACAACATGAAGTTTAATCACGATTCGGCGTCAGTCTGTTCTGTTTGACAAAGAAGGGAAAGGCGTAAATGGGTAAGGAGAGATTAAGTACTAGAAATAGCTCGTATGATTTTCATTATCTGTTACTGTTTAAAAAAAAACTATTTTCCAAATTAAGCGACTAACAATAGATCATCGAATACGTAGGTAAGAGTAATTTGAACGTATTATGATGCCGCGCAGGCGGCGATGGCTGTGGTATACGCGTGGGCCAGGTGCAACAATCTCTACATTCGACGCCGCGCACGCACCCTCACTGTGCTTTTAATAAATTTCAATACACATAAAAAAGATCTATCAAAAGATGGCGACGCAAAATAAACCGGTGCGATGTTGCTCTGCTGGCGGATAGGTCGTTGAGGGAGCAAAAACACCGTTTGTTGGGTGTGCAAACAAGTTTCAATTAAACTAAAAGGTGTCCCAAAGCGGGTGTGTCCGCCAGTTGCCATAGTAATTACGATTTATTCAATGAGTAAATCTGATTGTTTGATATTCAAATGAATGTTACAAAGGTAGCTCATTTTAGGGCACAAAACCGGGGCCCGCAAGACTTCCGATATTATGGTAGGAAGTAGGTGTTAACTGAGCAATTCTTGAATAACAATTATGATATAGAAATGTTCAGTTTAATATGAAACAAAAAAACATACAAGTACCGACGTTTCGGATGCTTTGCAGCAGCCGTGGTCACGGCGAGACAGTACTACTCGCGTAAACTACAGACAGTATTTAACATACAAGTACACATAGTATTCATTTATAATCTTATTAAATACCTATATAGCAATTATTAATAATTATTTTTGAAACGACGGGCTCGTTTGTATGTATGGCTAATAATCAACGGGTTCATTCCCCACCGATTCAAAATGTTTCTTATCGATTCATTTTTTTTTTCTAAAATATGTTGGATTTCGATTGGAAATGAGGTTTTAAGGTAATCAGATTCAGGTCGGTAGGAAACACCGTTTACAGATAAAAATCGGTTTCAGTCGTGTATTTCCGAAGATCCAAAGCCATAATATTTCAGCGCATCTTGTTGAGCTTTTTTATGGCTGCGATATTTCACCCACCATCAAGAGAACCTCATGCTTGCCTGTCGTCTATTATAAAACAAAGAATACTCTTATAAAAGTGTAATATCGATTTAGCGAATTCTTATAAACGAGACACAATTTATTCCCTATATAATCTAACCTAAACTGTCTAACCACCCTAAATGTTGGCTTTATACACATAGTAGGTATAAAGCCAATATATGTAAAACTAATAGATAACAATAGCTTCGGATGCGACTTCGTCTGTGTGGAATAACGCAGATTGCAAATTGTTAATAATAAAAATGCTTATATTGAATATCTGTAGTGCATTGTAATGCTTATATTAAATATTTGTATGCTAATGAGTTTGTTTGCTTGTTAGATGGAATGCGCTAATCTCAAGAAGAACTGGTCTGAATTTAATTATTTTTGTGTTGGATAGACCATTTATCTAGGAAGGCTTTAGTATCGCACAGAGCACTGAAAAAAATATGTAATGTTTTTTTTCTTTTAATTTAAAAATGAGTAGGCAAAAATAAGTATGATACCAACTATTATTATAAGCTTTATTTTTATAACCGATTATTATTATAACTGCCGACGGAGTCGCGGGGTTAGCTAATATATAAGGAACGAATGCACTTTGGGGTTCCTTCCTCAATAGTTCTAATATGGTTAGAATCTGTTTTTCACTAGTAAACAAAATTCCTGTCACTTATTTAATATACTTGATAGTAGAATGATTTAAATACAGATTTCTTTTTTTTAAACGACATGACCGTTACCGCTCTCTTGCGCTAATCCGTTAGCGAGCGAGCAAGAGCGATCTTTACTCGTTGGGGATTGTTCTGACGCATTGCATGCAGCTGCCCCGTCATCAACCCCGACTGTTTCCCCTTCATACCAGTACACTATAAATACCTCTAAGAAAAGAAAAAAAAAATCTCAAATAACGGTAAGATTGCGAAAAAGTATTTAAATGTGGGAAAAAGTTTTTTATCCGTTTCCCCGAGCTAATATTTTTTGTGTAAAATTTTAAGATCTGAAATGATTTAGGAATCGTGATCTTCTCTTTGAAATACAATGGATGAGAATAATTTTTGAATATTTGTATAAACATATACAACATTTCAGTTAATTTATTTTTGAATATGGCTTGACATTACGTCTAGGATGTTTTACAGCAGCCGTAGTCACGGATTCAATTCATGTTGTTCAAAGCGTTGTACCACTCGCGTATAGACGACACATTTTGAGGTTATTTTGAATTCCTTTATTATAGAAAGATTAATACTTTTCACACGTGAAATAACATGATGGCCCTATATAATCGATTATATTAATCATATATAATATATAAAAATTGCGTCGGGAAGTGCATGTATGTTGAAGAAAATTGACTATGACGTGTAGATACGCGCGCAGGTAACAACAATACGAGAATAACATTTTTTTTTCAGGATATAGTATAGAATAGTTAAATAAAATTGTACGTATCTACGCATAGGTAATATAATATGTACATGTGTTATATGAAAAAGCTCGAGAATTCGAGGGTGAAAGGTGGCCCGGTGACGCACCGGCCATGCTGTATAGCGTGTGCCGAAATCTCAGCTGTTTCTCCTTGCAGATACAGGCTGTTCCATTCTTCACAATCATTTTTAGTGTTGCGTCTTTATTCCAAACATACATTATTGATTGTTATAAAAATAAAGAGTTTTTTTTGGTTTCTAAGACTGAGTATGGCAAGATGAATATTCTAGGTTGAACTTGGTAGGTATGTTTATGCCATACATTTTTTCTGGTGTATACCTTATGGTTAAAATGTCTGAATTTAGTAGTTTTTTTTTTTAAGTTTCGATAGGGTATTTATTTAATTTCAATTAACATGATTAAATAACAAATTAACTAGGTAACTCATAATTTTTACAATAAACGACATCATAATGTCACACCCTGTATAAGCATGTTCAATCCATCTGTATTAAAAGTGTTTATAAAAGCGTTGAATAGCCCTGTGCGCTTTATATAGAACTCTAAAGCAATGCCATTATTCAAAATTAAACTACTCACCTACCTGCAAGCCTTGGGGTTGTTGAATGAAAACGAAATATCTACAAATCCATTTTAATATACGAAAACGAACTTTACAGCACCACATTTAGGAAAACAAATTTGAAAAATAAACTTTATATTAAAGCAATATAATTGAATTTACAATAAAATATTCTTAAATACTTCAGGCCATGAACTCAACAATGAATGGGGGAGACCCGAAGACTGCACATTTGTGAAAGGACGGTGTGGAACGAAATTAGTTTGACTTCAGTAAGGGGTGGCTGGGTACTTACGCCGTTTTACTGGCGCTAGGTTGTTCGATGCAGATGTGCGATTCGGGTGGAGACATGTGATTCTGCACGCGCAACCAGCTGGCATAGCTGTGCACTGATTCAATTCATTGCAGGGTCTACGGTCGCGGGTACCGATGGCTTTGTCTAGTTTTATATATGAAGGTAAGCTCAACAAACAATGATATAGATACAGTAACAATAGCAGACGCGGCTCAGGTGTGCGAAGGTTGGGTCGTTACCTTTCAGAGTAAAAAATTGAATTTTACGTCATTGTGCTATATTCATGTTTTCTAAGGAGCAAGGAGATATTAAAACCTCAGATTCAATTTATTACTTCGTTACCTTAGGTTAAAACTTATCTTCACATCTGTACTAAATATTGAAATCAAACAAAATTATTGCACCGTACCCAAAAGAGAAAAGTAGTTACTATACCTATGAAAATCATAGGTGTTTTTTCTTATCTATTAATTAAAAATAAATAAATCTGGAACCATTAATTTATGTACTTATTATTGTTTGATGTTTAAAATTTTATAAACGAAAGAGACAGTATAGTATACATAGAAATTTGACATGTTAATGCAGTCTTATAAAGATTTTTAGAAGTTCAAAGTTAAATAATAATCATCTTGTGGAGTTACCTTTTCTATTCGTACATTGTACATTATTTGATATGGTATCAGTCTTAGTCAAACTTAGTTTAACTATCTTTTTGCTTAGTTAAATAAGTTCACCTTCAATACAAACGTTAATTAAATTCAGTATATTTAAACTATGAGAACATTTGGAGCAATAATAATGTTAATTGTCGAAGTTCTGATTTAATAACGTATGCGCGGAATTAATCGGCAATTGTATGACATTGAGAGTATATCGCAGCACCTGCTCGCGGCGCCCCTGTCCATCGGTATTTCCGCCATAGCGCACGTCCCCCTTCGCGGTGCGCGGACGCAGCTCGTGCCGCGACCGTTACGCACGCGCCCCGACCCCCGCGCGTACGCACCTGGCCGACGCAGCCGTTCCGCCGCCATATTATTATGATGATGACACTCTATTTGACACCGCACAGATTTCAATTATTATTCCTCGATATACGTTAATATCAGGCTATATCTAATAAGCTAAATGTTTGATGACGATTAAAGAGGGTGAGAAAACTGTTTATTTACGTTTTCGTATGCAAGACTAATTAAAAAAATATATAATTTTACAATACGACTATGTATAGAAATTAATTGCACATATAAATACAGCGGCATTGCTTTGTTTCAAATTATTTTTGCTCCTACCCAGAAGATTTAGTTTCAACCGCTTTTGGCACAACATTATTTGTATAGACATTGTCACAGCTGCTAAATAATTAATTAATGATAGTTAAGTTTAACAAATACATTATATTTACATTACTTTGTTTACAACCGTTCGACTTTCTTTTTGTTTACGTTTCCCAGAGCCGGTATCGATAACACTTCCATTCACAAGATTCTACAATAATAATAATTAATAGGGATGGGAAGAAATTTTGTTCGGATTCGGTTGAAATTGCCGGGATTCCAAAAAAATAAGCTCAACAGTAGAATCATTTACCAGAAATATTAAAAGAAAATAGTAATTATGTATGAATAATTTTAAAGCATGCTACAGCACTGCGGAATTATTTTTAAAGCTAAACATTTGCGTAGCTGGTGATACTTAGAAATTACTATTGTAGTTTATAACCGTTAACCGACATTCGGTTTCGGTCCGAACAGCATTCGGCTCATCCCTAATAATTAAGTAATGACTGGCATTTGTTTCGTTGATTACTTTACGAGTCAATACGATCTCAAAGTGTCGAAAGCTAAGAATAACATCATAATCAAGTAATGACACAGTGGTTTCAGGTATTGTTATTGTTCACCGATCAACACGATTAGTCACAGTTGTGTATTAATCGAGCAATTGATGCCCATGTCGATCCCTTGACACATATAAGGTTGAGTCATAAGTATATATATGCCTTTCTCCTCGCATATGTACTATGCACTTTGTCATCGTGACGATGTAGATTATCGGGTGGTTGTTGGGCCTTAAAGTTATCGCCATTTTTTATTGAATTTCTATTATTCTGATTATTTTAATTTCTATCTATAAAAAGTTTCTAGAAAATTAAGATCGTAATTGGGGTACTGTCTATAGTTTACGCGAGTAGTACACATTTAAATAAAACACTTTAACGGTTTAAAAAGCGATATATTAGTTAAAATTTTTTTAAAAAAATTTTTTTTTTTTCCCCCCCGGTTTTTTTTTTTTTTTGCCGCCCGAAAAAAATTTTTTTTTTTAATAAAAAATATGAAAATAAAATTACATTAATACCTAGCTACTGTGTTAGTTTTAAGCAACTGAGAATTAATTCAACGGTCAATTAAATAAGCACTTATTCTACGTGCTTTTCGTTTTAGGAATGTAATAAAATATTCCTTTGACAATATTTATTTGAAAAAGTATAAGTATGTGTTGAGGAACTTATGCATAAAATACATAATACGGAACATAAGAAAAAACGTTTTTAATACCTTGTATGTTCAATAAGCTATGCGCTATTTATTCAGTAATGAGAATTGCAAACTCGTTTCTGTGAGAATCCACAAATAACTTAGGGAACAACGAGCTCTGTGGGAATTAACACTGGTCACAGAGAACACAACAAAGGGTTTTGGACGTTATGCTTCCGCGTTACGAAGGGGTTGCATTATAAAACCTACACGACACTATACAAGGAAGCTAAGCGTATATGTCAAACCAGTTACCTAATTATGGTAATTTAAATCGCCAAAAAAAATTGCAACATTTTCAAATAATATCATCATGTCTTATATACTAGCTGTGTCAGCGATTTCGTCCTCGTAGAATAGTTATTTTAGGCATCCAAATTTATTTTTGCAAACTTCCTCTTCATCTTTATATAACTAAGCTTTCGTTCTTGCGAGCTAATCTTCAAAGATAGACATATCTATAGAAAGTCGCGGACTCTGTATAGAGCGTTTAAAGAGAAATCATTCTTTACATATTTTTGGTTATCTATTTACCGTTTTTGCAGCGTACCTACGCATCGGAAACCCACAATGATAAATATTTTCCCCCAACGTTTTCACATTTTCAGTTGTTACTTCTATTTGTACAGCTCTATTCTTAAGCCATATAGCGTTACTACGATAAATGTTCCAACACGAAAATAAATTTTTCAATCAGAACCTCTAGTAGTTCTTGAGAAAAGCGCGTTCAAACAAAAAAATATACTCTTCAGCTGTATATATTAGTATAAATTGTTGCATACACTAAACCTTGTTTTATTCTTAATATATCGTTAGTAGATCTTAGGTATCCTAGTTACGAATAAATCCTACCTCTCACCAAAGCGGAAATTAATATACATACAACTTGTGTACTTTTGATAAACGGTGTACGTATTTACTTAACTATGTTTACAATGGACAAGAATATAGCACATTATTTTGGTAGTTATTTAAAATTATTTCTCGAGTTTGTATAATATTTATTCGACAATTATACGTTTACCTATTAATGTACAAAAGTATTAAAACATGTATGACAGTAGAAACAATTGTTTAGTTAGGTCATGTGTTTTTATACATATTTCTGTAAGTAATAACTAAGCGTAAATTAATTAATATCGTTACCTTTTCTGACTTTGTTTTATTTTGCTCAGGAAACAATTCAATGATATCTAAATCATAAAAGGAAAGAGTAAAGGGGCCAAGGTAATAATCATGAGGCATAATTACAACAAAATAAGATATTGTTATCATCATTTCCAATGTTTATGTGTCACCGAAGCTATTTGAGACGTTCGCCATTTTTGCTGACCATACATTATAAGTTATTTCCAATGTCACTATTACTCTTATAACAAAGTGATTAATTGACACATTGTTATAATGTTATTTGTTAGTTTAGACCGCGAGCTGGGGTTATTTTATTAGTGAAGACCATGACAATACAAGACATTTTTTTTAACCACTCTTTTTTTAAACACTCCTAATTATCATTAGTTATACCCAAATTAATATAACGAATATTAACTTAGCAGTCCGCGAAATTTCTTTTACTGATAGATTGCTGATGAGACCGTTTCACAAAGACGTATGGCTCAGTTCAAAGGTGCTTAACCCCAAGAGTTGCGCAAAAAATTAGATCGCAACTGCAGAGCGACACCGATTTCGTCTGGAAAGTCAAGAGCTCGGGGCATGTCTCGACATAAGATTTACTAAAACACAAATTGGATGTTGAACTTGTATGAAACTAGTGACATCTACGAAAATTAAAATCACCTCTTTTTGCATTTTTGTGGGGACGACGAGGTGTTGGATTTCCTTCGCGGCATCACTACAGACAACATTCATAAGCTTGAGACCTGACATTACATAATATCACCTCGGGGTTTCATTCTTTTGCGTTCGAAAGATTTATTAAAAATTAAGTCGAACAATATAAATAACGTAACGTAAAGTACGTATTAATAATTTGGGAGCATATCGCACATAGCGAAGCATAGTTGCCGGGTGGCGGGTGCGCAGCGCCGGGTGCGGACGGCGGAGGCGCAGGTGCCGCCGCGCCCCGCGCCGCGCCCCAGCGGCCGCCGATTGGGTACAGCGCACGTGCGAGCCTACCCGCTGCCACCTGGCCGCCGTCGACGGGGAGCGCTTATAAGCGACAGCCCTTCCCTTACCGCATCACTTCGTATTCTGACACTGAGCAGTGAACGTGTACGTCACTCGCGCTCCGAACTCTCTACCAGTTTTACGACTCCCGCGCAACATTGTGATGATCGGACTATTGTGAACTTGTGCTCGATTAACTGAACATACATTTTATAATTTTACATAAGTGTTAGTGGATTGTGCGAAGATGCTCGTCGAAGATTCGCAGTCAGCTCGTGCGATGATGACGAAGAAGTATGCGCATTGTCCGCTGAAGAAGCGGCCCGTGCTAGTACGGGAGGAGCGGCCGGCGACGCCGCCCACTACGCCGCCTCATCCCGCCCACATGGCTACACACTTTTATTACGATTACAATAATTGTAAGTAGACCTTAATACGATAATTAACGTAGTCTTAGTGATAACAGTAATAACGTTAAAATCATTCCTTCTTCTAAACCATAAAAAATCTTTTACGTCGTAGTAATAAATTATCGTTTTTTCTTTATTTAAGTCCGTACAAAGGCAAAATGAAATTATATTTAAAACATTTAAATTCATTTCTAATAATATTCTCTCTTGTCCATAGGTGATATGGAAAACGATGAACCGGAAAACCTCAGTACTAAACCTGAAGACTTATCTAAGACGGGTAACTACCCGAACAAAGCTTCATCCCCGATCGCTACAGCAGCCGTAAAGTTGGAGCCGAGAGAATGGCCGCAGCAACAGCTAGAGTACTTAGCTGCCTGTCGTGCGCGCCTGGAACCAGCCGCTGAACTAGCGCGGCCCACGCCTCAATACGCTTACCTGCCTACCTTATATCCCTCATACCCTCTGGAAGAAATGTACCCCACCGCACCGTCCCTATCACCGCCGGCTCATCAACTGTACCACTACTCCCCGGCGTCACCACCATCATCGTGCTCGCCACCACCCTGTCCTGAAGACTTACGTTCACCCGGATCAGTATCTTCGGACTCGGGTGTCTCCGTATCCACTTCACGGCGCCCACGTTACCAATGCCCAGACTGCGCAAAATCCTACTCTACATACTCCGGACTATCTAAACACCAGCAATATCACTGCGCCGCTGCGGAAGGAAGTCTGGCTCGAAAATCTTTCAGCTGTAAGTTCTGTGCCAAAGTCTACACGTCTTTAGGAGCGTTGAAAATGCACATAAGGACACACACGCTGCCCTGTAAGTGTCACTTGTGCGGAAAAGCGTTCTCGCGGCCGTGGCTTCTACAAGGACATATTCGCACGCACACTGGCGAAAAACCGTTCTCGTGCCACCATTGTCGCAGAGCCTTCGCCGACAGGTCAAATCTTCGGGCACACCTTCAAACTCACTCGGACGTGAAAAAGTATTCATGCACAGGTTGTGGTAAAACGTTTTCACGGATGTCACTCTTAAGCAAACATTTGGAAGGCGGTTGCGGCGTCCCTACCACGTCGCCTTACGAATATCGACCTGAATCTATGCCAACGGGACCCTCGCACCAGGCGCTAGCGCCCACGGCCCCGGTTCATGCTTATTGAAAAGAACTGAGATAATTTAAATTGTCTAGATCTCGAATTATAATTAGTTGTAGTCGCCATATTATATTAATTTATTCGTGTATAGAAATATCATAAGAGTGTCGTCTAATTGTAGCTCAAGGTATTCGTTTTCAGAACAATGTAATATAATACATTTAGGTTATAAGTATAGTAATAGGAAATAATTAGTCATTGTACAGTCTTTGTGTCGCCCGTGATAGCGACGCCGCTAGTCATATGGCATTTGCCGAGTGTCATACACAAAATTAGATTTCTATAATATATTTTAAGCGTGTACAAAGTGCCTTAATTATAAATTATTAATATATTAAAACTTGTTTGCGTTAGATGCTATTAATTTAATAAGATAAATGTATGAGGCTCTTAAGATAACAATCTTGCCGACTTGCGTTCCTTTCTGTTACCTCCGCCAGCAGAAAATTAAAAAAGTTATTTTATAAAACGTCATTTTATTTCACTTTACGAGTTTATCATATTCACGTATTTAAAAATAACATTCTCAATTCAAATAAGAGATTTATTGATCTCAATCTAATTTAACGGTTATTGTTTTTACACCGTGTCTATTGAGCAGATATGTCTCTATTATTTGTTCACGTTCGTTCTGCAATTGTATATCATTGACTTGTAAGAAAGTGGTCCAATAAGATTAGAATCTGTTCTGTATTAGCCTCTGACCCTGTCAAATAAGTGCACGTTTTTCTGGCCTTGCGATACAGAACCTAGTTAATCGAAAAATGACACAATTAGATGTTATCTCTATAGAATCCGGATACCTTATCCCTAAACTCAAAATAGAGGATTATACAATCATATACTATTATGAGGTCGGTTCGTTTTAAATCAAAAAGTTTTATTTAATGTGTACGTACTAGTATTATTTAATTTTAACTTAATTATATTTTAAGGAATGGGTCTCTATACGTATTTAAATTAGTGTCATTAAATCGTAAGATTTATGTTATCGATCGATAGTAACAATAGGAGCCACCACGATTCATTAGTAATTTATCGGCAGACGCGGAAGGTGTTACTAATGCATTGTGAGATTGGGTGTGCCTGTAAACGTGCTAACAGACAGCGAATATCCACATCAACCTACACGAGTGCCAATTAGAAGTAGCCAGTGAAGTTGTTGCCGTGAGCAGCATTCGTCGCGATTGGTCTCCCTCGACCACCGCCAGCGGCACAGCGCGCGCGCAGCGTCCGCACACCACGTCCAATCCAATGCATTCTAATTAATTAATTCCGTTTCTATTTGCATCGAGATTATCTTATCCGAGATTGAGCACTGATACGCCGTACCAATTAGAATTCACACTCTGTACCACTGGAACTTTGAACTTTTCTATAACTTATCGATCGACATAAAGATAAAATGAACGATGTCGACACTAATTCGGCCTCGGTTTTAAATAGCTTGCTCATTGTTGGATTTAATTAATACCTGTCTTTAGTGACATTTTTTTACTGTATTGGGTTACGAGAATTAAGAAATAAGCCAGGCGTTATAAATGTGAAACTGGGTGAAGTTAAAATTAACAATTGAAAATACATGCACAATACTAATAATAATAAGTTAAATAATATTAAAAAAAAATAATAAATTAAACTAATATTGTTAGTAAGCTTAGAATATGTTAGTAAATAAATATATATGTAATATTCATGAAACTTAGGTATAACTCAACAAGATTTGGGTATAGGCCTCCTTCAAAGATGGCTTTTTTTCGGAATAAAAAATACATACATTGACACATAATAACAATAAGTCCGTGAGATTGACGCTAGAAGTGAGAACTCTATGGTAAAAGGGATATATCAAGATTTAGCCTACAATAAAGCAAATTTTATAAGCATGATTTGTAACGTCGCACTCGCCGTCGCATATAGCCCTACATTCATGTATAAACAAACTCCTTTCTAATTTTGTGACCCATAATATAATTTTTTTCATTTGAGTTTTAAAAGTGGATAAATGTTTTTGAATTTTAAAGTCGAAGTACCTATCAATACACGATAATTACATGCGTATGACAATTTTTATATCCGCTTTAATTATATATAAGCTGGTTTTAATAAGCTGCGTCAATTTTATACATTCTACAGTGCAATTTTGAGTTTCCAATTGTTATAATTTAAGGTATGTAAGTAGATAGACATTAAGTGGACTGATTATAATATAATTAATATACAGTTCCAGGATTATGTATTACATACATTTAAAAGTAGTTAACTATAAATAGGATACTTATGAAAGATAACCTAATTATTCCGAGACAACAAAAGGGAATGCCTTAAATTCCAATCTTGAATCTGCTAACACGGTCAAAGAAATAATTTACATAGATAGCTTTGCTAAGTTATTGTATTGTTTCTTAGAAATGAGGACGACATAAATAGATATGATTCAAATATTTACAATGAAATGTATTGCTATATATATTGAAAAGCAATAATTAGCTACAAGATAAAAAATAAACACGTCTTATACAACAACCTAGCGGTAATGGCAAATATAGTTTTTTTTTGCGAAAATTTTCTTACTGGAAAACTCTATGGTGTCTGGGTCCAATTCGATAAATCGTATAATCCTGAACCAATAACTACAGAAACTGAGTGAAGTATGGGCCGGCCACGATCGCGTAGGTGTCGCCCGACGCGCTTCAACGCCTTTGAAAAGATTATTCACTGGTAGCGATGCTTTGCAGAACCACGTAAATGGATTCCAATACTTTATGCGCGTAAGCCTCTTGCAATGTTTCAATAAACTTCCCGTTGACTACTTTATTGATAACATGTTCCCCTTATTTATGCTGTGTTTTTACGTGTAGACTTATAGACGCCATATAAAAGACATCAACGAGCTCTGTTTTTGAACACTGTATCCTCATTGTTCTGAGAGGAAAATGCGCGGGTCACAATTTTCAATTAGAGGTTTTGTATTCTAAACATCGTAAGTTATGATGTGGATTATTTATGTATCCTTTGTACTTTGAGTTCATTATAGTCAAAAGAAGACGTTTATAATCTTTATATGACGCTTTTCTACACAATGCATAGTGCATTATTGTAATACACTAGAACGTAATATATACATATATCTATAATTTATATATATATATAAATTATAGATACACATCAATAATAATTTTTAATAACTTACGTGAACTTTAACAATTGATGTAGAAAGTTTAATTAATTGAATATTTTAAACATATGTAGATATTATTGTTATTTGTTGTGACATAAAATCCATATGCATAAAATAGTGAGCAATAAAATTAATTTCTGGCTACAAGCCGTATCGGTATTTGTATCAGAATTGTTACCTGTTGAGCTGCGCAGGCGCGGGCGTTAATACAATAATCCTCGAGTATAAAAATTAACCGGTATAACGGTTCTCGGCGTAGGAGGTACGCCGCGTGTGCTCCGACCCTCACCTCCGACCGATCATCGTACATCGCCCAGTACATCTTTATCGTTTCAATAATAATACAACCTCTTTAATTGTATCCTATTATAAGCAAACTAAAATGTTTAAATACTGTGTGTAATTTATGCGAGTAGTACACATTTAAATAAAACACTTCAACGGTTTAAAACGCGATATATGTAAGCTAGTATACCCGTCTCCCCGTGATCACGGCTGCTGCAAAACATCCGAAACGTCGGGCCTTGTATGTTTTTTTGTTTTATATTAAACTGAAATTTCTATATTATATCGCTATAATTTCTATAATAAATATAATTCTCAAAACAAGTTTAACTCATATATTATATTGCGTTCTAAGCCGTTAAAGTGTTTTATTTAAACTTTAATATTTGTCAAACATTATGTACTTTCGTAAAACATGAACTTTCAATTAGATTATTCAAATCCATGGCTTTAAAAAGTTAAATCATTTTTGCTAGCCAAAACAAGGTTCCACTAACAAAGTATCTCAACAAATAAATTTAGTAAATTTTTAAAGCTACTTTCAAATCTTAGTTATGTTCATACGTCGTTAGTTATATTATTGTAGCTATTTAAAGCACGGGAAATTATAAGTTTTTTATTAATTTAAAATATTGCGTACTGAAAGTATCCTTATATGATTACTACTCTTTACGTCGCTGAGAAATTATCTTTTTTTACTTTTGCGGCAAAGAGCCTTAGATAAAATAGATTTAATACAGTAAATACAAGATGAAATGATCTTAACAAAGAGAAATCTTTCAATCACACGGCTTTGAACAAGTAACGAGGCGGGATTGATGCACGATGTGCTTCCAAGAGCCTCGCTCATCAATAACGCAGGATATGACCGAATTAAACGAGTGCAACGTTTATTACATGAAAGTTAAACGTTTATGTTACATTCCGTTTTACTTTCTTTTCATATTGTGTATCAGGAGAGGTTTTAAAAACTTAATCATATCAATTAAATCGCTGCCACCGCGCTGAGATGCAATCGTTACCGATTCGTGTTTATTAGGAGAAATCAGCGCGAAGACTTACTCTCGTCGTTAAAAGCCATTCGTTTAAGACCGCGAACAGTAAAATCTGTAACAGGCTACGTAATAAATGCAATAACAATGAATAAAAATGGCAATAATAGCAGGTGAAATCGCGACAGGTCCGGGTCTCGGGTCGTCGTCCGTAATTATAAATAAAATACGGCGCCCGCGCCACAAAGCCGCCTATACTATAGTAGTCCTTTAGCTCACAATTAAGCTATGTATTCTAATGTAAATAGAGTTAAATCCTAATTTGAACCGCTTTTGTTTTATGAATTGTGGTAGGGTAGTGTAAGCTATATTTTTATATCTGATTTTTTTATTATTATCATCCCATTACAACGACAAAACGGTTAAATACAAAATTTCATTTAAACAGAATGTACAGGTTGTATATTTTGATTTTCAACTTTAGCATTGGGAATTTATAATTCCCATATAAATAATATATTATGTACCTAGTGTTACATATAATTTAT